GTAAATATTGCATTTTCATCAATATCTTTTTTAAGTTAGTCAGAAAGAGACCAGGGCAAATCTCAAAGTAAGGAAGAAGTTCAAAAGTGTATGTTAGACAGTCAGTGCTTATGGCACCTGTAGGACATTAAGTGTGAGCACAATTGCCAGTATCAATTTCATGCTGTTATGTGTGCTTAAGTTAGAGAAGTTCTCACCTGGAGCTTGGGTGCCATGGAAATGTATGAAGATCCAAGAAGAACTGAGTGCTGCTATACTTGTTCTCATCCCAAACAGAAACAATCTCAGGCAAATTGAGGTTTATTTTTAATAATATTTATATTTTGAAGGGGCCTAAGATGGATGCAATAGCCCATTTACTGAAAAATGATATGTTAAGGACAGATCTTACATCAGAACAGGGTGTGGTAAAGGAGTTACAAAAGTATACCCAAAGATAATCTAAGTTGTGGAGGATAATGGAGTGTTTTCCTCCCTTCCCCATACTAATATGAGAGGTAAGCAGTGGCTTGTTATTGTTATTGTCATTACATTTTTTGAAATAGTGAATGTCTGTGTGGCTATTGAACACTTGGTTGTTACTGAGCTGACTGCCAGAGCAGTGGGATGAAGCAAGAATGTGGCACTCCTCTGAGGCATTCATCTGCAGATAAACAGACCTTATAATGTGGGAACAGGAAAAGTGGTATCAAGGCATCCCTTGCACCCTGGAATTGAAGGCATCCATCTTCTTCCATTCACCCAACAAAGCTCACTGATACACATTTCACATCAGATGGCTGTAATGTCTCAGGCTGGTAGGTGTTTAGATGCTGAAGAAGCAGTGGAATTTGGAAAACAACAAGCCTTAGAAACTGCAATTATCCTTCTCATAATTTCACTGGCCCCAGGATCAGGCAGAGGCAGAAGCATCTGCTTCTCCTAACACCACTGCTTTAAGTTTGGCGGAAGTAAAAAGGGATAACAATTTTAACGTGCAGGCAAGTTTGACATTTGTATCCCAGTCTTCCAAAGAAATAGAGGCTTTGGCCATGAGGTGCATGTTCAGACTGCCCAACTTATTTCTGAACTGCTAGAAGGTAGTCAGGGCTTTTGGTTTATCTGTGCACCAACATCTCACCCTCAATGACAACATCTGTCTTTAACTAGAGTCTCTCAACATTCTCTACTCAAATGCAGCTGCTGCACAGGACCAGGAGCACTACAGCAATATACCTCAGTGCAGTTACTTGCTCTGCTCTGTCCCAGTTTGGGTTGGCTGCAGCTCCCATTATGCATCTGGAGGCGTTTCACTATTTAGATGATTACCATCAAGCTCAGACTTTCATTGTTGCACAATAAGGATCAGTTTGCAATCGCATGTTTTGGAATGCTTTCTGGCCATTTATCACACAACTAATCTCAGCAACCCCTTTCAGAATGTTCTAAAAAAGCATTAATGTCTGTGTTCTGCAAGCATGGTTAGCTGTAGGATGTTGAACACTGAAAACTATTTTCACTTTGATATAGACTATCCTATTCTGACTTCCAAGCATGTTTGGATAGGTATAACATTATCATTTGCATGGGAGACAATATTTAGCAAGAACACAAAACACTAGGCATTGCTAACATTCACCCTGGGTAAAAAAGCTTTCCCACTGTCCCGTCATATTTCACACTTTGCACACTAAACAATGCTCATTTCACAAAATAGTCACTGCACTGAACTCTGCCTCTGGCAAACGCAGAACAAGACCTATCCAGAACCATGATGTCTTATGCCAAACAAAACCACTGATTTATTTTTTTTTTAAGCTAGAATTTTTAGGGTGGAAAAATTGTATCTGTACTCACAAAGCCAGCAATTTTCTTAGGAGATGCTGTTTCATCCTCACTTAATTGGGATCTATTAGTCTCCTCTGCCATGGCAAACAACTGAGCAGTTTTGACTGGCTACGTGGGCTTCTGCATCATCAGTGTGAGGTGGTGGAACCACTCACCAAAGTTGGGGTCCTGTTTCTTGTACAGGCAACCAAAATAATCCAGGTGAAGGAGATGAAGGTTTACCTCATTTCTTTAGAGAAATAACATCTTCCCCCTTTCCCAGAGTCCAGACTATTTCCATAGTGCTTGAGATTTACTGAAAAATGAATGCTATGACTAATACTGAAAAACACTTAAGCTTTCAGCCAGAAGAGTTTTTCATTTTCAAAAAAGACCACCTGAGTTTTTCACTGAAAACATACAGATTTTTCAAGCAGTCCTATTTGTTAAGAACCACTAAAGAATCTGTTACTGGATTTCTTAGTCCTGGCCTAAGTACATAGTCTAAAAAAAAAAAATCATACTACTGCTATGGAAAAAAAAGTGAGATTGTGTTAAGCGAGCATGGTAAAAAGCATTTCAGTTCCCATTAACTAAATTAATTTAATCATGACAAGAACATTAAGAAAACAATTAAGAAGTTGAAGAAACTCCCCTTTTGGCCCTGGAAAGTCCATTTCCTCCATTTCTTAATATGTATGAGATGCAGAAGAAATCTTTGCTGGCAGCACTTCAGTTCAAGATAAAAATTATAATGCTGCAGTGCACAATGGCAAAAGCATTTCACAAAAATTCCTGTTGAGCAATTAGAAAAAAGATGCATTATTCTCCTCAGATCATAAGAGTTAGCTTGATTTCTACTTCAGAAAGTAATTCAGAACATTTTAAACAACAGTTATTATGCATTTTAAATTAAGCAAGTCTGAATAAGTTTTGACTGAAAATTTGACAGAGCTAATCAAGAAGCTCTCTGGATCACCAATGCTATTTAAATGAATTTCACACTTCTAGGAAAGATTTCAGAGGACTCAGGTGAGGAAAGAACTAATACAGCATCAGCTTTTCAGTAAGTAGGTAGACTGATTTAAACTGACATAGCAGGAAACAGAAAGAAAATAATGGAATAACCCATAATTTTTGATCATTCCAGGATATAGAAAGCAAAAGCTTACAAGAAATAGAGCTGATCAGATAAACCTGACTCTTTATATTGATCAGCTAGAATTCAAAATTGGTTGAAGATAAAGCCAACGTCCATGTAGTATTTCTATTACTCATGGGCATTTAGAAGTGTGCCACACGACAGACTGAAGCCAGAAAATTAACTGGCTGGTATGAAATATGTTGCAACTATGGTTTCTGAATTGTATACAGACATCCATTAAGCACAATCTTATATTCTTATTTTAAGAATTGGTTATTTACTATAACATTATTTAATATTATTTTCAATAAAATGCTCAAATTAAAAATGCATTTAAATTATCATAAAGGATCCAAAGAAGAGTGCCACAGAGAATCCAGAAGACTTGAGTCTATTTACTTATATTTAAAAAGAAAACTGAAGAGTGACTTGTTCAGTTTGAAAATGCCTATAGTGAAAAGAACAATGCCACACCATGAACTTCAATTTAGGAAATAGATGAAAGATCTGACAGCTGGGTATGGAAGGATGACAAATTCAGGCTCAATGTAAGAGGCATGTGTTTAATAGTAACTTATAGTAAATTATACTTTAAACAATTAGGGTGGACTCAATTCTAGGAACTTTCAGATCAATGCAGGATGCTTCTAAGAACAGCTTTAGTTCAAACAAGAATTTGAGGAAGTCTTGGAAACTGTGCTCAGCAAGAGAGCAGACTGAACACATGGTGTTTCCTTCCATCTTCTGAATCAGATTATGCTGGAACTGTTACATTTTTCTCACGAAAATACCTCAAAGGAGGTAGATTTAAAAAGGGAAGAGAAGTGGGCATAAGCATTTTGGACACATGGGACCATGCAATACAGTTGGGACTATATGGCTGCATTGCACCACAACCTGTAAGAAGCATCACCTAGGCACAGCAAGTGTGTCAAGTTGTGTAGGCAGGAAGGGACCCTACATTTTTGTACTAGAAATTATGAAAATGAAAGCAGCAACAGCATGCTATATTCAATCTAGCAGATGCCAGAAATTTTGCATGCCAGGAGATTGCTCAGCCCAAGCCTGCAGGGGTACTGTTCCTTTCAGACTGTTTTTATCATGAGAAAGAAAAACAAGACAGATGCAATAGACCTGAAATAAAAAATTCACCTTTTTGGGCTCAGTGAAATAAAGGCAAAGAGGCCTGACATGCTGCAGATAACAATGTAAAGGAAAAGGTTGTCAGAAAAGACAGAAACCTGAGAAATTCCTGCTTGAATTGTATCCATACTTTTGTGAACATACAATTTGCAAACACTGAATTTCCAGTCTCAGGAAACAAAATTATTCCAATTGATGGCACTCCTTTTTGGATATAAGGCAATGAGATTCAAGTTGTCTTGTCTGGTGCCACGTAAGAGCTTTGTATTCCTTGTACCTTGGGAGAAAATCTCATGCCACAAGGCTGCTGGATGTTTTGGGCATGACTGCCTAGTTCTCCCTGCAAGTCATGTTTGAACAAAAGAAAGGCCATGCAGACAGCCACATTTGGAAGAAATGTGTTTTGGTGAAAAGCTGGTATACAGATTTAGTTGGAGAATTTTCTTCAAGAAAAGAGTGGAACATTTTTTACTCCAGTAATTCTTTCAGTAGCTAAGATTCTTACTTTACAATCTCAAACTTCTACATACCCAGCTGACAGGATGAAGACACAGCGTAGGAGTTCACCCTGCACAGACGGTGAGCATAATGTACACTCATCACGGAGACAACAGCTCAGAGATGGAAAAATCCTTCCAGGTTGTTCATGACAGATCTATGGCAGTGGTCACCTACGACAATGTATTTTTAGAGTTCTGTACAGCCCACTTCTATGCATGCTCCTCCCAGAGACCCTATAATTCATAGATACTGTTAGAGCTCACATGACTCTCTCCAGAGAGATACATCATAGTGTCACTTTTGTATCTGCACGTTCCCACATGGGCAACATGCTGCTGTGGAGCTGTATTTAAAGCATGCTTTGGAATCAGGGACTTTGCAGTTCAACAGCACTAAATAATTCACAAACTTTTCAAGTACAGACTTTATTTCATTCATATTTCACAGTCAATTTCTGTAAAGTTTTAGCAAAAAGGTCATGTTCTATAACAGAGGTGTTGGGGTACAGTATTCAGAGCTAGCAATGGGCTTTGAAAGTACAGAAAATACCTACATTCCAACTAGAACAGTAGAATTTCAAAAAGACATAGTAAAAGTAATCAAAAATACCAACATTTATTAAAACTTAATACAAAAAACAGTCTGTCTGACCTATCAAGCTACCCCACTTGTAAGCTGTCAACAACTGAAGCTGCAGCAGGCCATTGGACTGATTAGACCAAGACAGCTGTCTTTAGCTAACTTCTTAATACCAAATCTTGCAGCTTTGAGGATCAAAAGAAACTTTGAGTTCATTGCTTACAGTTTCCATTCAAGGCTAACATTTCTGTTCAAATCTACTGGACCACTTTCAGATCCTGCCCAGAATCTGGACTTATCCTGTTCCTGATGTAGTCAACTAATTTTCCAAATGCATTTCCAAGCTAACCTATTTTATTATATTGCAGCCGAAAAAGGAAAGCCCTTATTGTTTTAAAGCTTTATCAGGGCTCCCAGGAATAAAGGCAGCTAAGAAAACTGAACAGAATGGTATCTGATGACATATTTATCACCAGAGAGCTTCAACATCCTTACTTTTTATAAATGTTAAGGTTTCCTATTATCCAGGGATATGCTTCCTAAGGAGCCCCAGATTTAAGTATGAGTTCCAGATTTTTCTGAGTATGAGTATGAGTTCTGGATTTTTCTAGTTTGGTAAATACTATTTAAGCCTGGACTGATGCCCAGTAGGAGATTTCTAACCAGCTGCTGAACTTTATTCACAGATTTATTGAACATATAAAGATTACATCAGCAGAAAGGCTCATTAGTTGTAAGCACACCCACTTCAGCCCACCCTCCATACTGTCAGAGAAAAAGTCCATGTGGTACTCTAAGAATTATGAGAGATTTCCACCAGCTAACTCTCCCTAAGTCAGAGGGTACTGCCCTGCAAAGCAAGTTCTTCATTCCTTTATACTCTATTAGAGCAGTGGAAAGAGAATGGAGAAGGTCACTGGTAGACTCATTTTTCCTTGTCTCAAATAGCTACAACTGGACTTCATTTTTTCTGCCTCCTTTCATCTCTAGGTACCCTGAGCCCATAATCTTGTTTTCTAGGGCAATCGCTTCCTAAAAATATATATTCTGAACTTCAGATTCTCCTCTCTATTCAATTTCTCTAAATAACAAAACTAAGGAAGGGGATGGGAAAAGGACTTATTTCACCTCACACCAACTCCCTTCACCTACTTGGAACTGATGATGGCCCAACAGTGGGCCTGTTCTGCTGCTGCACTCTCAGAAACAACTATGTGAAGATGGGAATAAAAAGATGCTTGCAGAATACTGCAAATGACTGTCTTCACTTCAAGAATGGGAACATGCCAGCACATACAAACTTCTTCAGACCAAGGAATTACAGAGTTAGGATGAAATTCAAGGTCACGCTGCAGTACTAAGTACTCATTCTGTCTTGAACCCACCATGCTATTCCAGTCCCACAGCTGGCCCAGAAGACAAATTGTTAATGGCAATGCGACTTTGCAAATCTTTGACTCAAAAAGTGCTCAAGTAGAAGTTTGAGACAGGAAAAAAGGAGGCACATAAATAACTTGACCAACAGCTATGCACATTTTTACTACATGTTGGGATAAGTGGGGTCTTCAAGGTTGCTATTAGCTTTATCAGATCCTGTTAGAGATGCTTCTAGCTCTGCCCATGACTGTGGAGCATTGTTCTTTATTGCCTCTATGAAAAGTTGTGTTTGGTGCTTCAGCTGGTCCAGCTCAGCCTGCGTCACTTGGTTCTGATGAATGAGCTCCTTGGTTTTTAAAGTGATCTCCAGCAACCCTGACCTGCGTAGCACAACAAGCGTATTCTGAAAGCGTCTGCACTTGCTTTGTTGCTGCAAGAGCAGCTCAGGGGTAGTGCAAACCTCTTCTGGTATCAATGGAGGGCTCCACGCTGCAGAAGGCATTGTAGTCTGTGACGCACTCTCGCTCTCATGAGGCGTGCATTTTGCTGCCTGCAGAGTTCCAAAAGGCAAAAGGGGAGTCAAACCCGGCACTTTCTGAGCATCACTGGAAACACGATGAAAACCAGGAAGAGTTGACAGTTTTCCACTTGTCACCAGAGCTGAAGAATTTTGCTGGCTAGAATCCTGAGGGGTCTTAAAGCTAACTGGCAGGTGGGAAAAAGAACTAGCAGGCAAACTAGTGCTCATCAGTCCAGGAGAAGTCTCCATCTTGGGTGCTTCTGTGCAGAGTCGTTTATGGCAAGTGGTTTCCTGACATTCTTCTAGATCAAAGGAGTGATCTCTTTTGCAGGGCTGTGGTGCTATTTTGGGATAAGAATTCAGGATGGGCAGGTAATTAGAGGAGTCATTTCTCTTTTTCCCAACAGGGTGAGGATTAATGGGAGGTGGGATTGATGGACGAAGAAACACTAGCTGTGGCTGAGCTGGAATCACTTCAAAGGATGGCTGCACAGTCCAAGACTGGAGCTGTGATGAACTCCCCTGAGAAGCACAAACAGGGAAAAACCACAAGTCTTACAAAAGCGTTGTAGAAGACGATAAAAACAAATTTAAACGAAACAGATGGGCTGTGCCATTTTTCTAAATTTGATATATACTGTCCAATTAATGTGTTATGAAGAGTTTGCTATTAAACTCATCCTTCTCTTTCTCTGACAATGGAATATAATGCTGGAAATAAAGCTGTAATCCATAATCCTTTTACTATGCAACAGCAGATATATTTAAAAACAATTCAATTTGAATATATATATGCTTTCCTAAGTGAGGATTACAGTGAAAGCTTATATTGTAAACTCTTCATTAAAAAGTTTGACCCAGACTTGGGGTTAAACTACAAGTGCACAGGAAAGCTGAAAAATAATTAAGCTTTCTGTTATGAAAAATCTTAAGAGTCAAGGAAAGATTGCACAGACATTTTAGGAACAATTCAGGCTCCCTCTTTGTTGAAGGGTATCAACTCAAATCTCAAATCTATCCTTATAGCAAGATTTTGAAATGGTTATTTAAGATACACAACAGATGTTCAGGAAGTCTTGTAATTTGAAGTACAACGCACAGTTTCAGTGAATTTAAAACTATGAAACAGAAAAAAAAAAAAAGGCTGAATATCAACCAATGCAAGGAGAAAAGCCTGCAGTAAGCCCAGAGGAGTTTAACTTTGTACCTCTGGGGAAACAGTGTGCATTGATAAACCTTAAAAGCATTTTATTTACAGAACAATGCCCAAGGCTTTGTTCCCTCCCACAAGTCATACTCTGGAATATAGGGGAAAACATCCATTTTTACAAGACATTACCTCTTTTCCCTCCAACACCTTACTACAGATCTTCACAAGATTTTCTGGCCAAAAACACGATTGCTTTTCTCCAAAGACATCAAATGGTCTAGTAAGAGACACTATTTATTTCTAAAGGAAAATCTCACTTCTTAATATATTTAAGCCATCACCGCTACAATTGTATTAATATACTGTCAGCTGCTTTTTCACTTCGTTACAACTTGGAACACAACTGGCAGGCCTGCTGAAGGCACAGTTTTTAGCTACCACAAATATATATTATTATTTTTAGCCTATATTAAGTAATCTGAAATCCATATCCTTTCCACCAGTCTCATAAGTTTTAAACTGGCAAACGCTAATATGCTTTGCTAAAGTCCATTCCCCCAGTAAATGACTTGGAACTTACCAAAAGCAGGTATTACCCACTGATTAGGACACTGAGACTTGGAGATAAGATTCAATTACCTACTCTGACACAATGTTTCTTTGGTTCAGTGGGCAAGATGCTTTTGGAATAGGGGTACAGAACAGCTACCTGTAAAAATAAATATTACTACCTTAACACGGAAGAAAGAACATTCGAAAGAAAAGTATCTGGAGATGTAAGAAGTGAGGAAGCATATAAATACTGTAGCTATACGTACACAGGACAGAACATGTAGCCTTAAGAAGCAACAGTTTGGAGCCAGAGGTTGCCATTTAATGCACTGCTGAACAGCACCGAGCATGGCAGAGTCCCATAATCATTGAGGCTGAAAGAACAGTGGTAACTGTTGGTTACCACTGTTGATAACTGTTTATCTTGCTCTTGGGTTTTTTCCTATCTTGATTCTTTCTTCTTTTCCTTCTCACATAGCACTCTGCTCTAGTTCTCCTACTCAATGTCTCATTTTCAGTAGAGAAGGCCACTTTTATTTTACTAACTCTGCAAATTCTGTGTTTTGTTGCATTTGTAAATGAAAGCTAACTTCTTGATGTATCAGTATCACTTGCCTAAAAATCCTTCCCACTTACTAAAGACTTTTACAAGACTGACAGAAACCTTACCACAATCAGCACTGGCATTAATCACCACCTGATTTTTTATTTTTTTTTTTTTAGCAGCACTACTCTTAGCTGTTTACATTCTGAAATTGGGCCAGCGGGTAACCACCACTGTAGAGGATCACAGTGGTTCCAAGACAGAAGGATGATACTGATGGAAACTGAAACTGGAAAAAATAAACAGCAGTAACTGGATCCTGCTTTATTTCCTTTGGTCCAGCAAGCCCAACTCAGCATTGTGTTGAAAAGACCATTTTAAAAAGATGACCTAAAAGATGAGCTAACTAGGCATAATGAAAAAAGGCAGAAAGACATTTCATTATTATTCTGACCTAGACTTGTTGCTTTCCTTTATTGTAGTAAACATTTTTCAATTTGACATTATTTTCTTTAATCATACGTAGTTAGATACTATGATGCACTGTTCAAGAGAACAAAGTGTGGACATTTTATCCATCTTCCAACTCTTCCTTGCCAAATTTCCTTTTTCCTGTATTACTAGAGTTTATATATATATATATATATATATATACATATACATGGTTGGATTTTTTTTTAAAAATTTCTCTATATATAAGCTCCTTATTAGTTGCTGCTTCTTGTTATTTGCAACACAACTTGGGAGTTTAACACTGGAATCAGTGCAGGTAATGTCTTAAATTCTCTGCTCTGGGCCAAAGGCAACCTTTAGTGAAGCATGCCTATTCCTGACTTTACATATAAAAACTTCAGCATTTGTTTACACAGTATTTTGTCCACACATCTAGGAATGTAACTATAAAATGAAATTGCTTCTTGCCAAAAAAAAGCACGATGCTCATAGAGCAGAATCATCTCCCCCACAACTGCATAATCTGCTAAATACTAACAGTGAATATTAGGTCTTGCTTGTTGTCATAACAGGTTCAGTAGAAAAAGAATCAGGATTTATATTCTTTTTTCCCCTTCCCACTGTATTCTCAGAAGTATTCTAGTAAAAAACATTGAAGAACTTCTGCTCTGCTCCAAAAATGAGTGAGTACAGAGCAGGAGGTCTAATACTGCAACCGTACTCTGGACTTCTTACACCTTCTGTTAAAATGTTAAAGTTACACAGGGGGTCTCACAGACGTGCTGGAGGAACTATGTATCACAAAAATACTGGAGAATATAAATAGGGACTGTACTTGTTACAACGTGAGCTATCACATGAAATTAAGTGAAACAACTATTAAAGTACAAGTACCACAGCTAACTTCAGATAAGGATTTAACTTTTTAATTCATAACATTCTGGATTAGTGTTTCCCATTGAAGCACTTCTAGAACCTAAGAATGAGGAAACAAACCGATCATCCTTCACCATCTTTTTTGAATAAAAAGACACAGCAGTTTTCAAAAGCAAATCACCCTTTTCTGTTTAATCTTTGGTGCTATTAACATAACATTCTTGAAGACGTATTTTGGGGGATTCCCTTGAGACAAAGAGGTTTAGTAGATGGAGATGGAGCAGAGTTCCTCAATTTCACATTCCATCTTAGTGATTCCAGCTGCCTCTCAAAAGAACAGAGAATCGTACTAGAACTTCTTAAATTACCTTTTTTTTTTCTGGACTGCAACAACATTGCAAAATCTTTTTTGAAACAAAAATGTTTTTTAGAAAATTAAGAACATGCAATATTTTTCAAGATATGATTTCTTCCCTACCTGTTTAACCAACACATTTTTCATAACAACCATAGGAGATAGCGCAGGAAAGGAGCTGCTTGTGGTCCTCGGGCATTGCCAAGGTCCATCCTCTGCATTCCAACACAGCGCGTTCAGCACATCCTCGGAGTCCGTCTGCTCCATAGCACTTGGGCATTCTGAACTTCCATCTGTCAGATGTAGAATTCAGCTGTTAGTTGTTCCACATGCAACATGCTTACTATTGCCTTTCAGTTTAATATTCTGCCTCATTCAACCAAGTCACAAAGAACAATAAAGTTTAGTTCTGTAATATCAACAAAATTAAAGCTGCTATGACAGATGTCAGACAGCCTCTAATAAAAGGCTTTGAATCTCAGGTCAATTCTTATACAGACAGTTTCTCTCATAAAAATCTACTACTTTCTGTTCTTTTGCACTTATGTCTCCAAGGGACTGCATAGTATCATCAAGGTTGCATTAGTCAAAAAACTGATACAGGAAAGCACTATAGGCTCCAGCATTGGCACATCCATAGTTTGCGATGCAGGCATTTTCTGTCTTGAAATTTTCTATCGAAAACCCAGTGAAGCAGGTATCTTTCATAGAAGTAATTGTTTTTCTTGTTTAAAGGTAATTTTTGCACAGTTTTGTTGACTACTAAAATGGCACACCATGGCTATTATTTTACTGATGTTATAACCACTACCCTCTGGTTTATCAGGCTCTACTGGCAATATGGTCAGATCATAATAGGCACTGGGGAACTTAATCCAACAATTCATTCATCACTGCAAAGGAAAAGTAATTTTGACATCTCCACTTCTAGACTCTAAAGTCTAAGATTATTCCATTAATTCTAAATTCCCATTCCATTCAAATTCACTGAAATTAACTTTGTAATTTGGTAATGTTCCACTTCAAAAAACTTTGGTGGTAGGATGATTGTAGTGGAAACCTATCTTGCACAGGAAGGTCCTCCAAGGTAATGAGATACCAACTGGAAGGGGTTACTCAGATTTGTTAAATGACACCAATTAAAGCACAGCCTCAGCACAGTAACACACAAGAAAGGTAACAGTGTTTTTCTAAACCTGAATATCCGGAGTCTTTGTCAGATTCAGCTGCCGCCATACTGAAGCGATGGTTGAAGCTCTTCATTTCCATCACTCTGCCCAACAACTCCTCACAGGTGTCAGTAAATTACTATTTTGTCTGAGTGTTTCCATAGTGTCGTGGGCAGTTTTTAACACCTCTTCCATTGAGGAACTGAAAAAACAGTTAAGAATAAAAAAGGACTTTATCTGAATCTAAAGAAAGTTCCATCAGTATAAGACAACAGTGGAGGACAGCTGCCAGTGATCTAACTGCAGACTTCAAGAAATATCTCAAAATCCTGAAAGAATGCAATTCACATAAAAAACTGATGTATTGGACATGCCTTTGCACCCCGAAAAGGTAAAACAAACTAAAAATTAAAGGCTATTCATAAACAACATTTATTTCAAGAATTGGAATTACTCAGGGCATTACTTATCTTATGAAAGCTTTGTTGCCCCAAGGGCTGAATTGCAAAACAAAACTGTTGTGCTGGGTGAAACTCTTACAACAAATACAGCTGAACCTGCAAAACTGTGGTTTTGCTAACAGAGCTTGTTTCATTCTCAAGAGTAGAGTAAGTCATCAGAGAAAAGAATGAGTGATCAGTGAACACACTGGGGGCTAAAGAAATCTATGCTGCTAAAAGAGCAACACATACTGCAATACACTCCTAGGGGAGACAGAGCCTTAGAAATACCCACAACCAGAATGAAAGCATTGAAAGGCTGAAATTAAAAGCTTTGAAAAACAGTAAAATGTTCCCACACTACATACTTTTCGCAACCTTCAGTTGCTTTCTGAGGGTAGGCAGCATCCAGTAAGATTAAGTTTCTGCTTCTCTTAAAGAAAGTAACTGAGAAATTGGCTAACAGAAAACTGACAGAATTAAGTGCAGAAATTTCTACTATTATTTGTAGAAATTATTTTCCTATAAAGTAACCCACTGAAGTTATGTCTCAATGTTAAGTTTTATATTTAAATTACAAAAACAGGAACTCAGGAGTCTGCAACATGGTCAGGCCAGCAGTCCATCAGCAGCAATATGCAGTACAAGCTGTTTCAAATGAACAGCAACAGACATTCTGGAATAATCTACACCAAAATGCAAGTTTCTTCTTCAGGTCCTGCCAAGTTTGCTAAAAGTTTGCTCCAAATACTGAGTCTTAGCACCAGTATTGAATTCTGAAATGGGAATATGACTGTCTATTACAACAATACTGGAATTATGGTCAGCAGAAGAAAAATTTCTCAAGTAGCTATTTGCATCACTTTTACTTTCCATCTTCAGTCACACCTGCCTGCCTGCTAACAGGTATGGAACAAACATGGTTACACAAGCGCAACCTAGATGCTATCCCTGCAATGGAAGAAGTGGTTTAAGTCCTGATCCATGCTTTCCTCACTTAACCCTTTCCAAAACAAATGTATTTTTTTAAGAAAGTGATAAGCAGAAATGTTGATCTAAAATAAAACCCCAAAACCATTTCAAACTAAAACAAGAAACAGAAAGAGGGCTAGAAATAAAGTAAGAACACCTTATCTGCCAGCTTTGCATCAAGTGAAGCTTTGGGAAGCGTTAACAGCATCTTCTCTCACAGTAAAGCAAAATATCACTACCACAACCGAAAATAAACAAACCAGAAGTGCCACTCCCCCCAGGCACGGGCGTGAAAAACCTCCTGCTCATTCCCGGGCCAGAGCCGCCCCGCTGGGCCCGGCGGGCAGGCCCTGGGCCGCGCACCGCCCTTAGAACCGGGCGCTCACGCCGCCGTCCAGGGCCGGGTCTCCCCCCGATCCCACCCAGCCGCCTCCCACACGCCAGACTCCTGCGGCACGAGGAGAGCCCGCTCGGGCGGGCCCAGCCACTCGGCTGCCGGTCCGAGCCGCCGCCCCGCCACACGGCGAGGCGCGGCAGGTACAGCCCAGCCCCGGGCCCGAGGGCCGCCGCCGCTCCCCCGCGGCCGCCGCCGCCCGCCGGGCCGGGCCGGGCCGGGCCGGGCCGGGGCGCCCCTCACCTGGGCGCGGGCCGCCACAGCTCAGCCGCGCCGCGCATGCGCTGCACCCGCCCGGGCACGGCCCGCCCCCACGGCCGCCGAGGGGCAGCGCGGCCGCCGCGCCCCGAGCGGGCATGCGCAGAGCCGGCCGGCGGGAGCGCGGGGCGGCGGCGGCGCCGCCGGGCGCGTCTGGGAGCCGGGCGGCGGGAGCGGAGCCCCGAGTTTGGGGCTCCCCAGTGCTGCACAGAAAAAATATAGCTCTTCCCCACACAGAAGGTCAGGCTTTCGTGCAGCCTCTCTCAGTTCATGAATGAGGAAAGCAGCATCAAAGAGGTCTCAAACTTGTCAAAGAGAGAAAACACGGCAAAAAAAGGAATCACAGAATCAATTAGGTTGGAAAAGACCTCGGGTCATTGAGTTCAACCTATGACCTAACACCACCATGTCAACTAGACCATGGCACTAAGTGCTACATCCAGTCTTTTCTTAGACACTTTCAGGTATGGTGACTCCATCACCTCCGCGGGCATCCTGTTCCTATGTCTAATAATCCTTTCTGTGAAGGAATTCCTTCTCATCTCTAACCTGAACCTCCTCGGGCACAGCTTGAGGCTGTCCTCTTGTCCTGTCTCTGGTTGCTGGAAGAGGAGGCCAAATCCCACACGGCTACAGCCTCCTTTCAGCCTCCTTGTGAGAGTGGTAAGGTCACCCCTGAGCCTCCTTTTCTTCTGGTCTGAACACCCCTTCTGCTCCTCACAGAACTCGTGCTCTAGATCCTTCACCGCTTTCATCACCCTTCTCCTGACTCACTCCAGCACCTCAATGTCCTTTCCTGAAGGGAGGGACCCAGAATTCAACACAGAACTCAAGGTGTGGTTTCACCAGTGCCAAGTACAGGGGAAGAATCACTTTTTCCTGTCATGACTGAAAACAAAAACAAAAACAAAAACAAAAACAAAAACAAAAACAAAAAACCAAACAAAACCAACAAAAAACAAAAAAAAACCCCAACTTTTGTGTGGTTGGAAAGTGTAAAATACATGGATCTGGTTTACATGAACAGCATATAAACCAAGGGCAAATAAATAGGAGGAAGTGAGTCCCTGGTTCAATGAAAAAGCTAGAGTAGCTATTCTTGTTCTGAGAACTGCATAAATGCTACCAGCACCGAGAAATCTGTCAGAATACTTTGCATTTGGACATGAAAGCCATTTCATTATAGCAAATTGAAAAGACTGTGTGGAAGACCTGAGCAAATACAAAATTAATTCCTCAAACAGAAATAGAAAGAAATACTTTCATTGTTATGATGGTCTTGTTAAGGAACCTGAAATATGCTGATTTAGGAGGGCAACAAGATGTAAGAAATTCCTGAATGAAAAAGAGAAGGACCTTTAATCTCAGCATAGTCTCATAAACAACTTGCCAAATGCAACACAAAAATGTCTGAGGTTACATTAAATGACACCATAATTTTAAAAAATAAGGCACTGTTGGGTTCCGGTCCTACCAATCTGAAATGCTGTGAGAGAACACTAGTGACTCTTATTCTTAGGATGTAGTTTTGAGCACAGAAATGCCAGAGTTGGCTCTGATTACATCTAAGCTGTAGTGTGAGATGTGTGATCTCTAGACTCTGGATTTGGATCCCTTACTGTTCAGGAGTTTTGGGGTCTGAGGAAAAGCATGCTAAGAATGCTATTGTATCATCTTATTTGTACAGGCATGGTCTGGGGTTGCCTTGTACCCTGAAACAGCCCTTACTGTTCTCCACAGAGGCCGGATTTCTCAGGATATGGAGTATGCATGGCTGCTCAGTGGAAACAGCTCACCAGAGAGCAAGTAGCCTGTGTTTAGGACAGACAACCTGCTGTTCAGTTTACGTGATTCAGAACAGATTTGGGATATGTGATACCAGGCCTTCATCCAAGGGGCAGCAGGTAGGATAACTGAAATACTACACTGTTTAATAGAGAAGTTTTCCTGGATAGTCAAGGTAAACCTTTTTCTGAATAAATGAAATCTTATTACCGAAATGTCCCTGAATTAAGTTGACTTAAATCTTAGGTTTATATTGAACATCATCTAAATTCTTCCTCTTCCAAATATGCTGTATTTGTAGTTTTATTAATATTTCTGTCATTGCCCCTTCTCTCCCTTTTCATTTAATTTGATTCTTCATTGATCCAAGGTCTCATTTACTGTGTGAGTTCAGTGATTACAGTCAGTGGCAACAGGATGTTTTCCTTTTTCCTTATGTTATACAGTGGTTGATTTGTTTATCCTAAAGGCGAGTGTTTTGACAAATAAGAATTAACTTTTTGTTCACTTCCCTGTTTATTCTGGTTGTACAACAGGAAGAGTGAAAAGAATGACTGCATGTTTATTCAGTGTAGGTGTTTCAACACTTATTAAAAAAAGGTGTTGAATATTTTCTTTCAGGAGAAGATGCAGAAATCATCTTTCATGGCTTAAGAGTGACAGAGGCAAGTTTTTATCTAATTAGGTGGTTAAATAATGTGTGCTTACCGAACAATTAATAAAGGTGTTGATGCATCGACTTCATAAGTGCTTGTGGGACAAAGAATCTTTTGTCCTAACACAGCAGTAGAAAGAAATGTTTGGCAAACTTTGGAAATAAAGCATAGCCAGGTCAGAAGAATGTAGTTTCATATTACACTGTCTGAACTGGAAAGGTTAGGTCTGAAAACACCATGTACTCAATCTTTTTTATTCATATACTCACTGCTTTGTTTTGCAATCACAGACAAAATACAATTTAGGAAGTACTATATTAAGTTAGTTTGCAGATAAATATCTTTATTCATCTCACTTCATTGAACCAGTCTAATTTTTATGATATTTTAATACAGGTATCTTTGTTCCTTCTGTTATTCACTTCTGTAATTTTAATACATAAATAGACAAATATTGTTTAAATGATGCCTCATAAGTTTTCATTGGTCTCAACAAAAGAATTAATTCATGCAGATAAAGTGTGTTGTTGGGCATTAAAACAATATTAAAGCTTGAAATCTCTTTGAAAAGACATTCCACATATATATTTTGTTAATAATTAATATCTTATTTAATAAATATCAAAGCAGGAAACATTGTGTGATCATAGAATTTCACCCAGAAGTTGACTTAACAAGATTTTTCTCTAATGAAAGTACTTTAGTAATGGCTCCTTGTCTTCTAAATTTCAACTTTAGATATGTATTCTTTTCAAAATACACATCTTTCATATTGTTATATCCATCTGCAACTTCATCTTTACCATAAATGTGTCCAATTTAAGACAAGGCAGAATGAAGACAATTTCAAAATGACAAATTATTAACAGAGATGGCATAACAAGAATGAAGCACTTTTAGTGCTCTTACACTCTTCTATACTGTTTTATGTTGGATGAGAACAAAGGTGGATTTAATATTCCTTTTACAACTTCTAGGCTTTTGGGCCAACTGAGGATTTGGGGAAGCAGTGCAAGAGAGCAGCCCAATGACTGCTTTTAACCCTTGCAGCATCAGAGCATTGCAGCAGTTGAGAGTGCTCTGGAGAGCAGCAAGCCCTTCTGCATTCCCTCACTTCCCAGCACTGTCATCCCCTCTGTCTGCTCTTCCATATAGTGTGTGGAAAACTACAGGGTGTAGAAGGATACCTTACTTAATAAGTGCAATGCTCCTCATTATAGTGTTGTTTTTTTTTTTTTTTTCTGGTGCATGAATCTACAGGATTTAAATTGTTATAATGGAAGAGCTACTATTTGCTCCAAAGCAGGCTAGATGTTATGTTTTCCTGGAGTTCCAAAATTATTTATGTTTGTATTTCAGATATTGATGGTGGCTTTGGGAGTTTTGGGGGTTTTTTGGTAGGTGTTGAGCCATCTCTACAGACTCTTTTATATGGATTGTAACTTGTGCAGTGTCTTCATTTTTCTAGTTGCATCTTAATTTTGTGAATCTGAGAACTGAGAGAAGCGTCTTCACGTTCTACATGGCTTCTGTATGCCTGCGTTACTTGTAATAACCACTGGGTGTCGTGAGTCTCTTTGGATTACAGGACATCGAGAAGGACAAAATTAGTCCAGTCAAGGACTGCCTATGGACATTTTTTTTCGGGTGAAAAGGTCTTTGTCTAATTTACATAGGATTGCAATAAGGAATCCCAAATCTTACTTTAAAATAATGTTACTTGTTTAGCTAAATGTGTGATTCTTGGGGCTGTCCTGTGCAGGGACAGTAGCTGGACTTTGATGATCCTTGTGGTCTACTTCCAATTCAGAATATTCTGTGAGTCTGTGGGTCTTTATTTATGTACCAAGGGCAACTAATACGAGATAGGAATACTACAAACAACAGCCTAATTCTCTACATGTTTTATTCCCATTACCATTCAACTGAATGACATCTTGTTTGGCAGAAAAACACTTGAGATGTCAGTAGGTAAGTAAAGAAATCCTGATATTATAAGTGTATAGCATAGCAGAACTAAGGATGAATTTGGGATCTCAAATCTGTATTTTCTGAATTGGGGATCTCAAATCGGTATTTTCCTAATTTTTGGGAACTATATTTTACATGGCTGTATTTGAGAGTGTGATTTTGGTAAAGATTTTGGCCTATTATTTTAATAATTTTTTGCAAGCAAATGAAAAGGCACAAATTTGTA